AAAGAAAGAAAGAAAAGAAAAGAAAAGAGAAGAGAAAGAAAGAAAGATAGATCTCCAATTATGGAATCTGCCTCATTCTTTTGCCTGACCAGCTCTTCATTGCTGCTCATGGCCTTTTCATGCCGCTCGACCGCAACGGCGCAGGCCCTTTCAAACTCCTCCAACTTTTTCTGTTCACCAGCCAGTTGGAACTCGAGCGACACGACCTTACGGCGTGTGTCCTCCAGCTCCAACTTGACTGCTGGCAGATCAGCATGGGCAGTCTTCCAGTCAACACTCTCCTTCTTCAACTTGGCCAACTGGGCCTTGGCCTCTTCCGCTTTTAGCTTGGCAGCCCCCGCTTTCCTTAGAAGGGCCCCTGCCAAGGTGGTTACCTCCATTTGGGCGGAGCATAACCCCCTCAGCAGGTCAGCTTCATTGAATCCGGATGCCGAGCGAAGGGCTGCCTCGTCCACTATCTTCACCAAGCGGTCTGCCCTCGCCCTAGCTGGGCCTTCTTCTCCCTCCAACCTTCCAGCCACCGCGCGAGCGTGGTAGATCGCCGTGGCCCGACGGACCCCTTCTTCTTGGGGTGCAGGGCCCCTTTGGGTCTGCTCCCTCCCGCTCGGCTCAGCCTCGGTCAACCCAACTCCTACTTGCTCTGCTGGGGCAGTCTCCACGACCTCCAGTGTTGGGGTGACCCCCACCACCTCTGGGATATCCTTGGCCACAGGGGCCTCCACCTCAGCTGGTGCCACCTTAGCCCTCTTGGCCCCAGACTCCTCTACAGCTCCCTCTGGGGCACTCCTCTTCTTTTTCTTCTTCTTCTTCAGAACCTCCCCCTCTCTTCTGGCCTGTTCTTTTACAGGATCTACTGGGGGCGGCCGTGGCTCAAAATTGCTTAAGTCCTTCTCTCCCAACGGCCTTGGGCGTGGTCGGATCCTCTCCCGCGCAATCGGTTGAGGCGGTCGGTCTCATTGCGCTTCCTTCAACTTCGTGGCCCTAGCAAGTATGGCCTGATCATCTACTTCCTGAACCTCTCTCCTCGCCTCCAATTCAGCTCGGTCGAGGTCTCCCCCCTTCGGCTGCGGCCCCAAACCCGCCTCAAACAATGCAGACGGCTGAACAAGCTCGTCCCATTTGGCCTTCTCTCTCTCCCTCCACTCCTTCACCCTCTTCACTTTCTCTTCCGCCGCTGCCCCCAGTCTTGGCTCCATCGACCTAATGGGCACCTTCCAGATAGTGCGTACCCCCCGTCCCCCATTGCCCGACACGTAGAACCACCGTGGCCGCCACCCCTTGATCGATGTCGGCAGCCCCGCCACCAATCCCCTCCCCATCACTGCCTGTAGGGCAACCCTCGTCTCCTGCTGCCCCGAAGCTTTATAACAAGAAAAGAACTCGTCCACCGCCATGGCTTCCCCCCCATTCGCCTTGGGCCACGCGCTAGCATAAGCCCAGAATCTTCCTTGCATTGGGCATCAATTGCCCCGACGCTACCTCCAGACGGTTCAGCACGTCAACCACCACTTGGGGCAGTGGCAACCTTAGCCCTCCTTTTAGCGCCTCCTCATAAAGGGAAAACTCCCCTAGCCTGGCATCAGACGGCCTTTCCCTTGACGTTGGCAGCGATAACTCCACCTCCGCCGGAATCTGGTATTTTTCCCTGATAGCCTCTAAATCCACCACCGTAATTGTGGATTTGTCAGCCTTAGTGTGCCAATGATCCGGCTCTACCTGGCTTATTGGTTTTGGAGCCACTATCATGGCCGATGCCTGCGCTTGTCCCACCGGTTCCCCCACTCCCACCATCCGTGCCTCCGTCCTATATTGCGCTGCTAGCTCTTCTGCATCATCGTCTCCCAGAGGGTCCACCCTCACATTCACCACTTTTTCTTGTGCCATTTCTAGGGTTTGCTTACAAATCACTTCTGACGCAGGAGCAAAGAAGTTGAGAAAATGCTACACAGGTGTGTCGTGCGCAGTGAAGGAATTAACACTTGGGTATCTTGAGTTTTTGTTAACAGGTAAGTGAAACGAATTATACTAACAACCCACGGTTTACCCGTATTCCATGGATCCACATTAATTTTCGCCCATTTCAAAACCTTTCAAATCAACTGCCAAAACCGCCTTTTCGAAACCCCCCCTCGCGACTTTTCGTTTCATTTCTGCTCCAACGCTTCATTTCCCCCACGATATTGCCACGTGTACGGCCACGATGCACTGTCCCCTCCCCTTACCCTGTCATTTCCATTTCACATCATCACCTGGCACAACCCCCCCTCTTTTTGAGCCCCGTGCCGCCCTGGTCGGCACGCCTCACGGTCAACCCCTCCCGCTCGGCCACCCTCGCAGTCGGCACGCCTCACGGTCGACCCCTCCCACTCGGCCACCCTCACGGTCAGCTCCCCCCGCTCGGCCACCCTTGCAGTCGGCACGCCTCACGGTCAGACCCCTCCCGCTCGGCCACCTCGCCGGTCAACCTCTCCGCTCGGCACCCTTGCAGTCGGCACGGCTAACGGTCGGCCTCCACTCGATTCGCACTTCTCTTCCTATTACTATTCCCTTCGTTGGGCTAAAGCTGCACTCGGAAATGGGGGAACTACTAACATGGATAGGCCCACAAGGCTTACGGCCCACAGCAAACAACCCCAAACCCATCGCTTGGGACCCATAGCATAACCTGGTTGAAAAAGCCCAGGACAGTTGGAGGCCACCTAGACATGGAGGGCCAATGGCATTCGGGTACATAGCAGGTGAAACCACAGGCCACATCAGCAGACAAAAATTTGCAAAGTTATTGCCACAACGCATCACCATTAATGCAGCCCATCACAGCATTTATTACGACAACACCCCCCGTCGGAACAGAGCCCCCTCACCCTGAACAAGGTAAACTACGGCACAGGCTTTCGACGGAACGGGGCACGTCACAAGAGACAGTGAAATGATTACCAAGGGATATAAGCAAAGGTGAAAGACAAGAAGAAGGTTAAGTTTTTCTATCTCTCTCTCTCTCTCTCTCTCTATTTTTCCTTCTTCCACTACTGATTCGCTCGCCGAAGGGTTCACTGGGGGACTAACCCGTTCCCCTTTTGGACTTGCTTGCAGGTCATTTGGTGGAATTATCCGCCTGAATCAGAACTCGAAGAGCTTGGACCAGCCCAACCCATCCACCCAGGACAAACTGCATTATCATTATTAAATTGCTAAAGGTTCACATCATTAAATTGTTAAAGGTTTAAAAAAATTTGTATAGGTAAAATTATTCATAAAATATCTTAAATATGAAAATTATAATTTGATGGATCAAACGTTTAAAATAATAGGACTTATTAGAATATAAAAATATCTTATAAACTAATTAAAATATAAATACTTGAAAGAGAATTTTGATGAAGAAGAAAATTTGGTAGAAAGTGAAAGTAAAAAAAAAATGAAGTTAAAGAAAAGAAATAGAAAATAAAATATATTTTCTTTCAAGCATTTGATTAAGATGAAAATTTTGTAAGAAAACATAGAAAAATTGAAAATTTAGTTATGGATAACTCACACATTTAATTTTTCTTGTATTTTCTTATTTTTTTTGCAAGAAATAAAAAATTAGTTATAATGCTAATATGAATTGTATAAAAAAATTAACTTTCTTATACGTTCTACCACTTCCAACCTAAGCAAATTCATAAAAGTTAAAAAAAAGTTCTCTTTCTTTTACTTGTTACATATTTCCTTCAACAAGCTAAGCCCAAAAGTTATTAAATGATAAAAACGATTCAAATATTTAACATTTAAGGTCTAAATATTTTAACAGATAAATTATAAATACATTTTTTGAGATTTGCTTAAAATATGAATTATCTCTTGTGGTTTAGAAAATTACAAATACCTTTCTGTCAAAATTTTTTATTTAACAAAATTAATTGAAAAGTGAAATTTCTAACTGTTCACCTATATAATAATAAAATTATTTGAATTATTAATTGAAATAAAATTTTAACATTATTAAAAATTATTAATTAATTTGATAAAAGTATCTATTTGCCATAAAATTAGAAACTTTAAGAACATAATATAATTTCTAGAACCATAAAATGTAATTTGTAATTTAAATAAATTTCAAAGGGAATGTTTGTAATTTATTCTATTTTAACTAAAAAAATTATTTTAACTTATAATATTGCTCATTTTATTTTTTTTCTACGTTATTTTATAAAAAAATTATTAAAATAATATATTTTCAACAGGCGCGTAATATTGAATTCAAATACCACCGAAATGGTCCGGCGCAGATCGCAATTTTTGCTTTTCTTTTTTCGGTCGGTTTTTCTTAATTTTTTTTTCCTTTCAACAGTTGTTAGTTACAATCAGCCACGTACAACAGGCCAATGAATAACAACCACGTAAAACACCACCCAATTCCCAAGTGCCACGTCACACTTCGTATAAATAAGAGAGGAAGACTCTCTGGTGGTGAAGAAGATAAGAAATAAAAGAAAAGAAAAGAAAAGAGAAGAGAAAGAAAGAAAGAACTGAAGAAAAGAAAATGGAGAAAATACTTGAAAGATTGAGAAACAAGAAGGGAGCAACAATGGCCGATGCTTGGATCGAAGACGTTTTCGAGGCCAACGACGATGACTTGTCTTCCTGGGAACTCATCAACCAATCCGATGATGAAAACGAAGACTACTCATTCGACGACGACGACGACGACGACGATCTCTATGTTTTGGAATAAATAAATAAGCCAATTAAAAACAACAATCTCTCTCTCTCTCTATCGCCTCTTCCACCGCCGCCAAGCTAGCCACCGCCACCGTCACCGATTTCTCCACTCAATCTCCTCCTCCCGATCTCATAGATCACACCATTGATCATGTTCGTGAAGATTTTATCGTGAAACATGTGTCGATTGATCAACAATATGAGCAAGATTTTACGAAACATGTATCGATTGATCAACGATATGAATACAATGATTATGAAAACAACAACAACAACGATGATGATAATGATGATGAGGAGGAGGAGGATTATGATTTGGATGATGAATTGGTGCCGAAGAGTGTGAGCGATCGATTTGGGAGGCAGAGGATGAGGAAATTGGGGAAAAGGGCGTATCCGAAGATGAACAAGTCGAAGAGATTGCCGTACTACTACAGTCGCCCTGGTTGCGTCCATGGAAAGCATGGCCTGGGTTTGCAGAACATCATCGTCTAGGAAGAACTAGGGTTAATTGAAGCCAATTATGATCGAACAATGGTGATTCGGTACTGTGAATAAGTCTGATCTGATTTCTAGGTCTGTATAGCTATTCTATTAGTTTAGTTCAAATCTGGGATTATATTTTTTCTTTGCTGTATGTCTGCCGTTGTCTCTGTTTCTTGTTACTTATTTTATATAATTCTGATCCGTCTGAATTTGGTTCTTGATTTTATATGAATTTATTTCTAATGTGGTTAAGCTTTTGTGAGCTGATCTATTAAGAGAATCAATGCCACAATTTATGGTAAATTTAGGGCATATAAATTGACAAATAAAACTCATTTTCAGAGCTTTCGTTTTGATTTTGGTGCCCCTTCTTTCTTGCAAGTGTTTTGAGTCACTTGTAATGGCATGGAAAATTATTTTTGATTACTAATATGTATGTTTCTTTCCTAGAGATAGCATTTTTATTCTTGTTTAGATGTTCTTGGTGCTCGGGTATAATGGTCTGAGATTCCTTGTGCTCTCCATATGCTTATTGCATTATGTTTCAAATGGTTTACATTTTGAACCCTCTTCTCATCCTAGGCTACCTAGCCTCTCGGGTTTTGGAGGTGTTGTTTATGTTTTGCTTGTTTTCTAGGCTAAATTACCCAACCTGATCGTATTTGTTCCAAAGCCGATTTTAATAAAAAGGTTTGGGAGAGCATTGATAGAGTAGGGTAATGTATAGTTGGTAGGTCAAAACTGTCAGGGATAGAGTAAGTATGAAATTGTATCAATAAAATGGTTGAGTTTAAAATTAAGAATTCACGTGCGGAACTCATAAAACCCTGAACTTTATGTGAGAGTTTTGTTTTCTACGGCCTAGGTAAATATATATATATATATATTGGGTGGATTCCTCATGTTAGTGGAGCTGCTTGTTCCTTTCCATGATGTTCTTGAGGTTCTTTATTTATCTTTGGTTTTTGGTAATAAACTCTTGGCACAAAAAATTCATTTTGTTCCATTATTATGTATGTTGTCAAAGGGGAATGAGCTATGATGATGGGTTTGTGTAGCTTCCGTCCATCTATTTTCCTTATCCTGTCGGGAAGGGAAAGGTTGGAGGGAAGAAATGTTGTCCTCCTCTAGGTCTACCAGGCTTATCTGCTTTGGAGAAGAAAGATTTGGAATGGACGTTGAGGAACGTTATTGCACAAGAAAGAAATGAAATGTAATAATAGATTAGCATTGAGATAGAGGGTTCAACAAGTAGACTGATCTATACTTGATCCTAACTTTTAAATTCTTATATGTGGGTACTATGTCAAGAAGCATTGGTTACAATGAAATGAGATGGAATGTGATTAGCTATATGGGTTTTCCTTTTTGTGTGAGATTTTTGTGTGAAGTCTTGGTTAGACTCAATCGATTATCATAACCAAGATGATAGTTTAAACGTTGAGGCACCAATCCGAGCACTTGGGAGATGAAAATGATATTGGTTTTGACCTTGTGATGTGATTTTGAAGCAATTGTTTCTGGTCTTGGTGAATGAGGAAATTGGAAATGTACTCTGCCAAGTTGATTTAGGTCAAAAAAGATAGCTCTGTGAACATCACAAACGCGTTGGGTTTGAAACAAAACTGCTGCAGAGGTTGTTGGAAGTTGTTGTACAGTGGTGTATAGTTGGAGATTCTTTGCCATATGGACTGAGTTGATGTATAAGTTATTTGCAGTGAAGGTGTTGCAGGTGTTGCATGATCCGATGATGAAAAATCTGAATTCTTTGGTTGAATTTCATTCTCATTGCTAGAGGATCTTTCCGTTCTACGCCAAAACATTTAAACAAATTCTTTGGTTGTTTCTCTTATTGAAAACAGAAAAGGCACATTTTCAATGTAGTACAAATTATCAAATGCTTACACAGTCCAATGATGAAAATTCTAAAGAGTCAAATGGTTCTTAACCCAACCTAGCAGTATGGACAGGTTGGGTTGGCTGGGCGGGGCCAAGCTGGACTATAATTAATCATTTTAAGTCCGGCCCCAAGAATAAGCGGGTTCAAGCTCAAGATCTTAGCCCGGTTTAATTTTATGAGCAGGTTGGGTTGGGCGGGGTTATTAGGCCAGTGACCACATATATTGGGTGTTTAATTTACTGTCACAAATGCATTTAAAATAGAAATAGCTGATATAGTGATAACCAGAGATGAAAGCGGGTCGGGGTTCTTTAAAGTTTTGTGCGTAGCTTTTTTTTTTTTTAATTTTAAATAAATACAAAGTTTGGATTTGTTTTATCCTATACTCAACCTTTTAATGCTTTCTTATTATTTTTTTTTTATTATAATTGGATTGTGACAACTACAAACCTAGTTGAATAATTTTGTTACGACATTATTAAATAATTATTACTACCATAACATAGGATGATTGTGTTAGTTTTCCAAATTAGTAGAGATGGCACTGGAAAAATCAAATTCCATAGAGAATTCAAAGATGGCATCACTCGAAGCTCAAAGCAGACTCCCCTTCCTTTCCCTCCCTCCATTTTCCACGAATTGATAGACGCAGATTGCAGCTGTAACTTTTTTTTTTTCTTTTTTTCTTTTTTTTTTTTTGTGTGGATTTTATTACTGTAAAATTGTAAATAGAATTTGTTGAACATCTTTGTTTATATATATATATATATATATATTTAAATTTGTTTATATTATTTTTATTTTTTGCCAAGGATTTGATACCACTCCTTTGAGTTCAATTCAAGGAAAGTTTAAATACGGGATCAAAAAGATTGTGGTAATCGAATCCAAATGTCATTCAGCATATAAGTTTAGGACTTGGATGCCAAACTTCTGAGGACTGTACTAGTCCAATTTACTTGGCAATTGCTATTTTTTGCTACAAATTTTTTTAGTTGATTTTTTTACGTTATAGTTTATTATAGAGTCTATAGACTAGAAGGTCTTAAAAGTTTTATAAAAAAAATTTAACAATTTTTTTAAAATATTTGCAAAAGACACAAAAATAATAATAATAAATAAATAACAACAAATTTTTTGTTGTTGTCGTCCTTTTTTTTTTTTTTTTGGCTTTAGGGAACATTCTAGATTTTGTTTTTTTAAAAAATAAAATAAAATTGAGAACCTTCAAATCAAGGACTTAAAAGTAAAAAAAATAAAATAAGAATAAAGAATAAAAAAGTTTCCAAAAAGGCATTGGCCATTTTATATATAGGCCTATTTTGAAAAATAGGTTAAAAGTTAATTTTTTGATTTTTTTTTAAATGTATAAAAAATAGTGAAATAGTAGAATTTAAAAAAGTCAAAAAATTAATAAGAAAGCTTTTAACCTAATTGTCAAAAGATGACACATTTTTTATAATGTTCTCTTAATAAGTGTCAAATGACTATATAGAGATTCCACTCGAAATGACGTGACATTATGATTTTTAAAAGAAAAACTCTTAATTTCACAATGTAAAGGTAACATCATTTAAAATGAAATTTCTTCAAATTATATTTTAAATTGTATTTGAATTTTGAATTTGTCGAAAATTTTGTAGATTGAAAAGGAAAGAAAAGAAGAAATGTATAAGTAGAAACTTTTATTTTTTAGCTTTTTTCTTTTTATTTCTTTCTTTCTTTTTTTAAAAAAAAATAAAAAATAAATTTATGATCCAATCATAATAAGCATTAGATCTACAGTTTAACTCCCAGTGAGTGCTATTAATCTTTTGGGACTATGCCTAGAAAGGGCATAACTCGAAATTTGCCCAACTTCCATGGAAGGGGCGTAGCGTAGGGTTACTGAGATTTACCTAGATACCCGATTATAAAAAAAATAATAATAATTGAAAATTTCCTGAAAGTGGTGTTGAGGAGGAGTACTACAGATAATTCCTTGGTAGAGTACAAGCAGTGGATGAGTAGTGTAAATTATAAAAAGGAAGGAAGAGTCACAATTCAAAAAAAGGAGGTGGGATTTTTTTGGTGGGTTGGAAGAATAATGAGTAAAAAAGCTACATATGTACAGTCTGATCTGATCTCTCCAACTGGAACTGGAGTTTGTTGTGCATGCACCCACACCATCAGTTGGGAATTCAAATGGCAGTAGTGAATAATAAGAAAAAAGCTTGCTCAGATATAGAGAGAGAAGAATAAATTACTAGTAACCTGTCACTCTCTTGTGAGATATAGAGATACGTAGTGTATCTCTTTACTCGCATTAAAATTATATTTAATATTGTAGTATTGTATAATAGTTTATTTAAATTTAAAAATTAAACTTATTTTTCAAATCTAATGATCAATCAATCAATTATTTTTATGTACTATTTATCTCTCTCTCTCATATTTCTCTAATTATGTTAGATTCTCTTATGCTGTGCTTGGTTAGGAGATTTGAGAAGAGATTTAGAAAAGGAAAGAGAAAGGGTGTGTGAAATATAAGTATATTTTATTCATATTTCATCTATCTTTTTCATTTCCATTTCCAAGTCTCTTGTCAAATCCCCAAACCAAACATAGTATTAAAGTTTTGATTACATTTAATTCACATAGAAAGATACCTAACATTTCTTTATTTTGCATATGATTTCTGTCCAATATCTTAATACAGGTTATCAATTGACTAAATTGACAAAATATAAAAAATAAAAAGACGAAATTGATAAATTAAAACTATATGGATTAAATTGACACAAAAAGTAAATTAGAACCATGGAAATAATTTGCTCTTGAAATTATGAGCCAGTGCTTGGTTTGAATAAAAGGATCACACCATTCTATATAAGAATGATTATGGAATCACATGTATAATTTGTTCGTGCTATCGTAATCTAATGGAGTGATATCGAACTTGCCATGATATAATTTTACTAATTTATTAATTTTTACACTGGCAATCAAACAAAAAAAAGGAGGGGGGATACTTTTTAGTGATGTTTTTATAAAATAATTATAAATTTATTAAAAATTTGCGTGTAGGTTCTAATAAATGGATTTATTATTTAATAAGTTTTATGAGAAAAATTTATCAAAAAAAAATCACTAATTATAAGTTTTAACGACAATTTATGAAAATCATAATAAAAAAAGTTATTAATTGTCAATTTTTAGGGACATATATAAAAAATTGTCACAAAAAATTTATTTTTAACGACAATTTTACCAAGACTCTTATTTTCAATAGAACTTGATGAGAATTAAGTATAACTATTAGGACTTATTGATATTTTATTCAAAAATTTAAGGCTTTAATTATTATTAATTATAAAGTTTAGCGGGAGTTATTCAATACTCCCGGAGCACCATGCATCTATACTCCAAACCAATAACTAATTAGTTAGCCCCATATTGTTCCCCCATCTCCAACATAAATCATGGGCGCTTATGTCTCTTCATCAATCAAAACCTTATGGAACACCACCTGTCCATACTTCCGGAGTATTAAATAATCACCCAAAGCTCACCACTAATTTAAAATTGCTTTTAAATACTTACACTGAATTGTAACCTCTTAAGAATAGCATTCTATTGATTGCCTTTCTTTTTTTTCTTGTCTTTTTTTCTTATCTTTTCTATTGGGTGGGTTGTGTTGTAAAATGTTGGAGTTAATCACAGCCATTGCAGTACATGTCCGTAGAGACATGAGACCTCTTTTCTTCAAAAATAATTTCCATTGGTGTAAAAGTTGTCTGAGAAACTTTAAGATATATATGCATACAAGAGCTCAAAGAGATAAGAAGAAAAAACAATCTATGAAGAAACCCAATACAATACATTCCCAATTCTAGCAAACAAAAACAACACATAAATAATTAGATGACTCAGATCCACTAAACCCACCAAAACTCAGAATGAAAAAGCATATTATCGAGAGAAAAAAAAAAAAAAACCCATCTCAAAAATGGCACCAAATGAGGAGTGGGCAGTAGTGAAGAATTGAACAGAAATCAGAGTTGGTGATGATGATGAGACAAGGCGGAGGATCAGATTCATCAAGGTGTCAAGACTGTGGAAACCAAGCAAAGAAAGGCTGTGCTTACATGAGGTGTAGGACTTGCTGTAAAACCCGAGGGTTTCAGTGCCAAACCCACGTCAAGAGCACTTGGGTTCCTGTCTCCAGAAGGCATTCTAGGCTTCAACAACAGTTTCCGACTGTTCATCAACAGCAACATCAACATCTCCAAGCCCAAAACCCTAAAAGATGCAGACAGAATCCCCCTACAGGTAATTTTTTCCATGCCAAACACAGATCCTGTCATCCTGTCTCTATGTATGTGGAGAGAGAGAGAGAGAGAGAAAGAGAGAGAGAGAAAGAGAGAGCATCTTCTCTAGCACACTTCAAAGCCATATCATTTGCGTGTAATGAATTAGATATCTGAAGCGTACCCACAAACCCTAGCAGCTTTCTTCTTTTTCTTCATTGTCATGTTAGCAGAAAAATTGTAAGTGCACAAAATCAAATACAACCTTGTCACACAATGTCTAGTTTTGTGATTGAAATTTGTGCACGTGGGAAAACTGGTTTTAGCAAGTGATTTCGATGCTCTCTTGCTAAGTAGGATGCCTCGGATTCCATTCTCTACTCTACTCTCCTTTGGCTACCTTAGGGCTTATATTGAGTAATTGTCTAGTATATGTGTCAAATAGACTAGTTGGGGCAAAGCCCTAAATATCCTATGATAAAAATTAAAAAAATTCAATTTCTCAGTTTGAGTTCAGCTTTGTTAATTTGTTTAGCTAGACTACTTACCCAAAGAAAAGTGTTGTTTAGCTCAAATGTGATGACTGAGTACTTTTTTAGGACTGGAAGTGGGGAATTTTCCGGCTGAATTGCATATCCCGACAACATTTCGATGTGTTAGAGTGAGCTCACATGATAATGCTGTTGATCAATATGCATATCAGACTGAAATCAACATAGGAGGACATCTCTTCAAAGGAATTCTTTATGATCAAGGCCCTGAGGCTGAGACTCATTACACCGCCGACGAGAGTGCCTCAGTGCAACAACAACCAAATCTCATCACTACTGGTCTCACTTCTTCTTCTTACCCAAGTCCATTCATTCCCGGTACGCAATACTTTCCATACCCAAAATCTTAAACAACATTTTTTTCCCCTCTCTTCTCTGTCTAAGCTTTGTATCTGCGCGATTGATGTTGTTTTGAGTAATTTATAATATCATTGAACAAGAAACGAAGAGAAAGTAGAATGGGAGTATTTTGTATTCCCAATTCCAAGTGAAGAATTATTTGATCTTGTCGGTGATTTTAAAAATGTTTTTGTAATGTTGCATTTTGTCTCTTATCCTTAATTTACTAGTATGTTTGTCCTTTTTCTGATCCGGCTTCAATTTCAATTTTTTAGATTAGTACTGGTTTTGTTGTTGTTTATGAACTTCGAAGCAACTTTTCTCCCGGTTTTCCGTTTCTTTGCCGACCTTGAAATCTCTAGCATTATGGATAAACAGTTTTGGATTTTCATGATTATTTTTCTATTATTTGTTTCACTCTCATGCATAGCCATTCAAATCCTATACATGTGCTAGATCTGATATCTCTCTCTTACATGGATAGGCATATTGCATACACACATACAACTTAGAACATTGTGCAGATAAGGGAAGAAATATGGCTCTCCAATTACACATGTTCTATTGATATTGCATCTATAAACAGTATTGTCATATACATATATCGGGATTTTAGACGGATATTGATTAATATATGATTGAATCACCAATATCAATACATATTCAGTGTAATATGTACCTATTGTGTTTATATAGTTTTCATTTTTGCGCAAAACTAGCTTTCAAAAATCTGAAACACCTTCTTTTTTTTTTTATTTAAGTGAGTTGTTTTCAGAAAATTTTGTGAAACTTGTTTTAAGCAACAATTCGCCAAACAAGTTTTATGTATTCCTTGAAAATGAAAACCAGAAAATCAAAAATCAAAACACAACCAAAACAAGCCTATCATTAGTTGGCTATATTATCTTATTCATTAATTAAGCTTTTATCTATATTTATGCAGTGGAATTAAAACTCACACTGCTTTTTATATTTAGTTTCTTGTTTCTTGTAAGTTGAGATGAAAATATGATTTCCTTCTTCAACAAGCTAGAGAGTGCTCAAGCTATTTTGTCTGTGATATTTTATTATCCATGAACTTTGCGATTGAGCTAGCTTTCTGCGATTGCATCATTTAAATTTTATCAAATCTAACACAATATTGAAGGGAATCACTGTATTAATTTACCACAAAGAAGAAAGCAAAGCTAGCCCACAACATAAATTACTATATTTTTTTAGTTTGGGCAAATAGATTAATTGAGTGGGCATCTATTGATTTTGTATATAATTGATAGCGACCCTAATCGGAAAAGCACTTAACAACCCCTATGTTTAGTGTTAATTTTATGCTAAAGGGACATTCACACTAACCAAAGGGAAAAGAAAAAAAGAAAGAAAAAAAAAAAAGATTGATACTCTTGAATGACACAACCATGGAATATATCCATTGTACCTTGAGATAAAAAAGAAACACCGGTACGAATGGTTCTTTCTCAATTCAATGTTAGGTGCAACTAGAATCAATTACCAAACTGAGAAATCCTCGGAGTAGCGCAATGCACTCTCACTCACACTTAGCATCTAGATGACTTTCCAAATATTATTCAGTAATTAAAAACCTCCATTTATGGAAGTCGAAGCAGGGACTTTTTATGGAAGGAATCCAAGCATTTTGTAGTGGGAAAAGAAGCATGAGATGGGTAATTGATCTAGTTTTTTATCGGAGTAAATTATACTTTAATCCTTTTATATTTAGTTATTTTTTTATTTTAGCCCTTTAAGTTTGTTTTTTTTTTCACTTTGACCCGTTATGTTTTAAGTTTTTCTCACTTTACTGTTAAAGTTAACTTTTGTTAAAAATTAGACAGAAAATGATATATTGTCAGTTACGTGACATAAAAATATTTTATTATATATGACTTATACCGTTAACATAAACTTAGGCCCCGTTTGTTTTGGAGCGTAATGGATGGGAGGGGATTAGGATGGAGGTGGGGTTATTTAGTGTTATGTTTGTTTGTAGAGTTGGGGAAGGGATTAGGATGGAGGAGGAGATTAAGATGGATGTTGGAAGGGAGATTGGGATGGAAGAGCTGGAGGTGGTATTAGAAAAATAGTGAGGGTATTAGAAATTTTTTTTAAATATTAATGTTTAATTTTTTTATATTTTTTCCATTTGTTTTATTATTTTATATAAAAATAATTTAACAATTCCTACACTAATAACTATCATCAAAACAAATACAATTTTACTCAATCCCTTCACTATCAATCCTCTCACTAACAATCCCCTCACTATAAATCTCTTCCATTCTACCTCTGAAAACAAACGGGACCTTAAACTCTAATATAATTATATATTTTTTGTATTATGTGATAGTTATTGTGATATTTTCTTTCTAATTTTAAACAGAAGTTAGTTTTAGGAATAAAATAAGAAAACTTGAAACATGAAAAGCCAAAATCAAAAAAAAAAAAAAAAAACTTAAAAAGGCCAAAGTCGAGAAATGACTAAATATAAAGGGACAAAGTGTAATTTACCCTTTTTAATGCTATTAAACTTGATAGTGATGTTTCTTTGAGATATAATATGATCATGAACTTTAAATTAGGACATACATACAAAAATATATATATATATATATATGCTTTGGAAAAAAAATGAGGGGACCATGCATGATTAAGAGGTTCCAGGAAAGAAGTAATTAAATTCATGAAGTTTGTCAGTCTCATAGTATTTTGTCAGAATAAGTTGATCTTTGAGCTTTTTTTTTCTCTAGTTAATTTACAGAAAAGTAAAAAGTCGACAAGAAAGAGTCACGAGCAATGAGCTATTGGGCTTATGGAATAGCTAATTGTTCTTCAGGAGATTTGTTGGGACTTGTTTGTTGTTCCCATAAATCTAGAAGAAAAAATGACTTATTTTTTATTTATTTATTTATAAGAAACGTGAATAATTACAACTAGGGCAAACTATAAATGTAGTTTGTTTAATTTGCCTCTTATATCAATTTAATACTTATAGTTCTAATTATATCAATTTTGTCTTTAAAATTTTTATATTATGCAAATTTAATTTAATTTATAATGTTTTTCTACAAATTGGACAGAATTCAATGGATAAAACAATTCGCTCACTTTCTTCAAATGATGGAGAAGTTGGCCTGGAATTTAAAATGGTCTATTCTCTTTTGAATTAACTATTTTATCCTTAATTTATGTTTAATTAATTAATATATATTATTGATATAATTGAAATTATAGAAAGCAAACTGATACAAAAGACAAATTATAGAGGCCATCACATAATTTGCCATAATAACTGAGATTGAAAGGAGATGATTGTTTCTTCAGTGTAGCATGGTCTTTATTTTACATTAAGATTGTGTGAATAAAAAGCAAACAAAAACTATAAAAATTGTAAATTTACAAGCTATTGAGTGAATTGTATGATCTCATCCACGAATGAAAAAAATATTTAGATAAGTAGAAAAAAGAAGAAGATTCTAACGCCTTAATTAAAAAAGAAACCCATATTAACAATCATTAATCAGGCACATGCATGCATGGTGCCCACAGTTCATTAGATCATTAATTTGTTACACCTTTTTCAAACTCATCCAAGAGCATGCATGAGTCCTATATTATATGATTGATTAGCTTTAAGCATTGCAAACTATTATATAATATATAATTATATACATGTATTAGGTTGCAGATTTATGAAGATACTGCAATAACGCATAAGAATATCAACTCAATTAATAGGTTAATGTGGTGCTCCAAAACTAAAAACAAAAACTAGTAAATTAGTAATGGGTGATTGAAAGTTTACTTCACTTATTTTGTTAGAAAAAAATTATTAAGTAGTTTTGGAATATTATGTAGCATTATATATGAAATGCTTCTACCATAACATATTAGGTGAATTATTCATTATCTGTCAACTACATAATAAAGGTGGATTAATATTGTTCGACTTGTAATTTTTCTAAATCATTTGTTTGTACCATCAGGCAAACAATGTCACATGGTAATCGAGGACAACTGAATAATCAGCCATTTGTCAATTGGGTGAGTGACAAGATTGGCCATCTATCTTTTTTATGCCCTTCATTGATTGAGAGTATCACGTAAGAAAAATTTGATTATCTAGAAGTTGAGAAATAGATACTTTTGGATTCTATTTTATGATTATAAGTTATTAACTTATAATAAACTATACCAAACAGGTGACACATGAGTAGTAATTTTTTGCTTCTTGAGCCCATTACTTGTGTGAATAAACTGAGCATGTACACATATGAACAACATTCTTTATAATGAACAGAAATTTACTTGTATGATTGTCAAGACTGTTTCGTTTAAGTGGAAGTTGGGATTATCATGAGTTGATTCAATTCAATTCATTCAGTTGTAAGAGTTGAGTATAAATTTTTCTTTGTAGCTATTATGCATGTTATTGATGAATTTAGAAACATAATCTGCAGTTATTTTGAATTTATATTATTTTGCAATATGAGAGCAATATGATATAGTTCTTTGCAAAATAATCTAAATTCATACTAGAAATTATACTAAAAACATAATTGGTTTATGTGGTTATCAATAGACAATCAATTTAATTTTTTTTGTATATAAATGATCTTCTTATCAAGTTGTACAAAATAAATTACTTAGATCACCAAAGTAAATATGGAATGGATCCCACCCAAAGGGGCAACACTCTCTCATGTGCCTTAAAGCACAACATGCGCCATATTCCAAACTTTTGTATTTTTTAATTTTTTTTAAGAAAGTAGTACCGTTGTTTTGTATTTTTTTAAAAATAATATTTTAATGCAGCCCTGGGCTAGAGAATTCAATTGTTTGGATCCAATGAATGGGTACTTCACTTTCTTTTTTTTTTCTTTTTTGAGGGTTTTTTTTTTTTTTTTTTTCTTTTTTTGGGAGGGGGGGTTCAAGATTGGAGAGTTCACTTCAGTCTCTTGTTTACTACTCTGGGCCCATCCATTTGAAGAAAAGCCCAATAATCTGGACTAATTATCCAATGTTAAGCCCACAACTACTTTGGGCTAATTAACTAAAGGATGAGAGCCCAATAAGCCCACAATTATGGGCCCACCCATTTGGACATCCAAATTGGTCATTCTAGGCAATATTGTCCAAATGGTTAAAAGCTGCCTTTTTTATTTTTTTTTTGACCTTTTTTTTTTAAAAAAAAAAGTGTAAAAAATGTAAGAGATTATATGATCAAAAAAGAGTTAAAAAATTAGGAAATGGTTTTTAACCTACTTCTCAAAAGAGGCCATAGTATATTAGTAGCCCATCCGAAAATTCCAAAATGCCCATCATTTTCATATTATTTTTTGTATTTGGCAAAAGTAGATTTT